TATTTGATAAAAATTTTGATTCTCACCTTTGGATTGACTATATCAAATTAAACTTTGATCTAAATTAATTATTGAATAAATTCGATGAAAAGAGAGATAACCTAATTTAATATATAAAATTAAATATATAAAGTGATGATCAATTAAACTCGTTTGATAACTACAATTAATATTACTTTAAAATTTAAGTCTCTTAAAATATAAGTTAAAACTTAAGAAAATTTTAATCTATAAGGCCTCGTTTGGGAACGTGTTATTTTAGTAACTTTTTGATTTTTTAACTAAAATATGAGGTAAAAAAAACTAGTATGTTTGGAATAATTTTTTGACTTTTTATGAAAAAATATGCAAAAAGTAAAGAGAAAAGAGAATCTTTGACTTTCTGGTATAAGTTGTTGGCTTTTTAATTTTTTTAGTAATTTTTTAGCTTTTATGCTAAAACATCCACTTTCCAAACGATGTCTTAATTATAACTGAATTCATTAATACTAAACATAAATATTGATATATATTATTATAAAGTCACTATCATCATCACCATTATACCACTGTTACCACCACCATAGCTACAACTATTGCTACCACCACTACCTTAATCATCATTGTTATTATTGTCATAAACATTACTATCATCGCTACCTCTACCGCCATCACCACTACGACCGTGTTGCTATCACTACTGCCATGTCACTACAACCATTACCACTACCACCATCATCATACCATCATTACTACTACCGCCATCACAATATAAAAATTAAAATATATAATTTTCAAATAATAAATTTTAAATTTGATTTTATACATATTAAATAATTTATTTTAATTCAGTACTTAAATTTTTATCAAACTACTTTTCAATTTAAAAAATTCAATATTTAATTTTCAATACTTATTTTTTAATTTTTAATTTTTAATTTTTAACTTTATCATACACCACATTACACGTTAAATATACTCTCATTATTTGAATAAGACGAACGTTAACAATTGTTTCACATATATAGTTCAATATTGAGATTGAGATAAAAAAAAATATATTTACAAATGGTGAAAAGTAATTATATTTAACTTGGGTCATTGCTTTAAAAAATATAATAAAATTTGATTTTTTTTTTTGAACAATTGAATAATGGAAAAAGTTAAGACAAAGGATTTTGTCAAAAAAAAGGTTAGAGAAATTGAAAAAAAAATTCTTAGCATTTGACTTTGTAATAAAATAAATTATGATTTTTTATTTTGTTAATTTAAACTCGATTTTTTGGATTAATTTTCAATCTAAACCATCAACATATTCCTGTTAAGTAAAATTGATGAAAAAAATATTTTAATAATTAAATTTAATGTAAATGTAATAAAATATCTAAAATGTTATTTTTCGTGAAATTTAATGACTAAAATATTATTTTTTTGTCAATTTTACTTAACACAAATAAATAAATAGTTTAGATTCAAAACAAATTAAAAATTAGAAAAACAAAATAATAAAATTTATTTTACTATGAAAAATATTTAAGATCCACAAAAAAATTACTCACAATTTGATCTACAATGATATGACATAATATATGTCAACTTTTAATTTATCAAATTCTCAATTGTGCAGACTTTATCTATCTTGTCACATCATTGTCGAGAAACTTAAGGATCTAATTCGTGACACTCTAACACCACTATTTTATTAGAAGGGCCAAATTGTAATTTTGTTTTGTAATATCTCAAAAGATTTCATTCAAGCGAATGTTGTGATTATTAATGCGATACCTTAGGTGTGTTGTGATTATTAATTTTATATTAAATGATTGAGAAATAAAATAATAATTTGTAATTGGTCAATTTGTGATGCCATGTATCAAGAAATAATTTTTCCGATATCAGGAACCTTCCTTCGGTGGTATCATTATCATCCGCATCAGATTACAGTAGTCCTTGCTGCACCCGATCTCCTCAACCTTCAACAAAAAAAAAAAAAAAAAAAAACTTTTGCAAAAACCGGCTGTGTTTTAGAAAAAGCCAAGCGGACAAGCCGATGAAAACCATCTATCGCAGAAAGCATCACACACAACGCGTGTACATCACTCGCTCCATCCAACGTCATATCATATGTCACATCATTTCAATATCTCATATTATTGGTCCACGTCACACCATACGACAACATTCTCCAATCACAATATTGTTGTCGGTTTTAAAGGGCTTGTTTATAATTTTTTACATATTTTACTTCTTTGTTTATGTAATTTCAAGAACAGCAATGCTACTCTCTACTAAACGTAGTGTTTTAAAGTATTATTAATGAGTTAGGTGCTCTTTAGTAACATTTACGTTTTCAGTTTTTTATTTATATTTATAAAATTTAAAAAATTTAAATAAAAACTTGTTTAGTAAAATTTTTGATTTATAAATCAGTGGTCTCAGTTTATAAATTTGGCCAAAAAATAAAAACACAAAAAATGTGTTTCCATTTTGAGTTTTTATTTTTTATTTTTTACCACCCAACACTAGCCACCACCCGCTACCATTTTCCACCACCACCCACCTCCCACCACCACTCACCACCCACCTCCCACCACCACTAACACCACCACTCCCACCACTACCCACCACTCGCCACCACTACCCACACTCGCATCACCACCACCACCACCACCTGTCACTACCATCCACCACCCACCACCTGCCACTACCATCCACCGCCCGCCGCCACACCCGTCACCTACTGCTATCACCACCCACCACCACCTGCCAATACCACACACCCACCACCTACCTACCACCACATCGATCGCCTGCCACCACCAGCCACCTGTCACCCACCCACCCACCATCACCACCACTCGCCACCGCCACCACCACCCGCCACCACTAATCACCCACCCGCCACCTACTCTACCACCACTACTCACCACCATCCACTCGTTACCAACCTACCACCCGCCACTGTCACCCACCCAACCCACCCACCACCACTACCACCATAACCACCACCCACCGCCACCTACCCGCCACCACCCACCACCACCGGCCATCCGCCACCACTTGCCACACCACCCACACCCCGCCGCCGTACCACCACCACCCACTCGCTACCACCCATCACCCACCACTTACCCGCTACTACCTACCACCAACCGCCATCCGTCACCCACCTACCACCACCACCTACCACCCGCCACCGCCCACTCGCTACCACCCACCACCTGCCACCGTCACCCACCACCAGCTACCCACCACCCACCGTCACCACTTTCCACCACCGTCTTCCGCCGCCACTTGCCACCACTTGCCATTTCTCACTCTTTTTTATATTTTTAAATTTTTTTAAACATTTTGTCAATTACCAAACGCATTTGTAGTTTATGTTTTTCTAAAAATAAACAAAAAATAAACAAAAATCAGTTTATAAAATTTTTGTAAATATAAACTGAAAACGTAAACGTTACCAAACACACTCTTAACATTTATTTTATTTTTTTTAAAAAAAAACACAAGGCACAAGCAGTAGGTGAGACCCACTGCCACATCATCAGTGATAGCACTAATTAGTACTCCCATTCATTTTCCTTTCAAGAAGAAAAATAATATGGTACAATTTTTTTCATTAAAAAGTTAAGGTAAACATATACGTCATATATATCTTATAGTTAAAAAAAAAATTCAACTTTAATTTTCTGAATCATAATTAAAAAATATATATATTATAACTAAACATAATATAAGGTATAATTAAAGAATTTACGTGTCATAACTAATATACTGTTATAATTAAATAAGAAAATTGATCATAACTAAAGAAAAAAATAACATAATTAAAGGTGCATATGATATACCATTTTTAAAAGAATGTATATTAGAATTTCCCAAAACATTAACATTATAATCATTAAAGTGTATAAATTTTTTTTATTGTTTTTTGATTTTTTTTTTACTGTTACACTTTTCTGTTATTTTTCCCTTTTTCAAAATTAGTTTTCTAATATTTTAGTTTTTTTACTTCGACTAGATATAAACTTTAAAAATATAAATTTGTTAATTTTTTTAAAAAAGAAAATATAAAAAAATTGGAAAGTTAAAAATATTATTTCAAACTTATGAAAGTACAAATAGTTTATTTATTAATTTGTATATATAAATGTTGTACTTTCATGAGTTTACAATAATAGTTTCAACTTTTTACTTTTTTAATATTTTCAAAAAAAAAAATTAAATAAAATATGAAAAAAATTACTAAAGACAACAAAATTCAAAAAATATAAAAAATTACTTTTAAAAACTCAAAACTAAACAAAATTACAGCTTGAATCGCATTTGAAATTAATAAATCTATTAGTTATTGATATAAATAATATCTTACATAATAGGATAATGCTAAGATAATAGGGTGTTTTGAAAAGATAATTAAAAATTAATTTTAAATTTTTTTTAAAAATATATAAAAATATAAAAAATAATATAACTTAAAATAAATTAAAAATTAAAAAAATAACCTTTTAACCCACGTCCTAAACGAGGCTAATGTTATGTACACACTCAAAATCACACAACAGAAAATATGTACACACCCTAATCGGTTCACTCCCAAAAAAATGAAGGGATATTTAGGTGTAAATCCTAATAAGTTTGACTTATTTTTTAATAAGGCTTATAAAAAAAATTTATCATAAAAAAGTTATTAATTATAAGTTTTAACGATAATTTATAAAAATTATGATAAAAAAAGTCATTAATTGTCAATTTTTAACGACATATATAAAAAAAATTATCATAAAAAAATTGTTTTTATTGATAATTTTATCAAGAGTTATTTTCAATAGGACTTGATAGAAATTAAATCTAACTATTAGAGTCTATTAATAATTTACCCAAAAACAAAGATGGTTGTTGGTTACACGCGCTAAATTCATGCGTGGTGAAGACAAAAACAAAAGGGCTCAAGCAGAGTTAGGTACACACCTGTCTTCAGTAAAAAATGATTAGAAGGACATTAACCAGAGTTAAGGTGAGAAGTTGCAGCCCACTATTCTCTCTTCTTGCTCTCATCACAGGCACTCCACAGACACAGAGAGAGATTGAGAGAGAATCAAATGCTCTGTAAATGGATAATCCTTTTTTCAATTTTATTTTTTGGCTCTCAGATGTAAAAAGATAAGAAAAGAAATGTCAATTTGCACAAGGGTCTGTTGTTGATGCCATTGTTGCAGAGAGAGAGAGAGAAAGGAAGGGATCTTTTTGGGATTTTTTTTTATATGGGAATCTTTGATGTTTTTACCCAGATCACACTCTCTCTACCTTGAAAGGTAAGCTCATATTTTGCTCTATCATTTTGTGCTTGTGTTCTACTTTCTGGTACTTCTGTGCACTACTTTTCTCTCTTGGTATGTTCTGAGTTTGTTCCTGTTCCATTTACTTGTTGACTCTCTCTCTCTCTCCAATCCTTTTTTTTTTTTTTTAGAGATCATGTTAGGAGGATGTGTTGGGTTGTTGGAAGATGGGTTGATTAGGCATTTCAATATGTGTGGCTATTTGAGTAGATTTTGATCCCTAGAGGTAATTTTATCAGTTTAGGGCTTGATTTAGACTCTGGGTATTCCTAGTGTTTCTTCATCTAATTTCTTAATTTCTTCAATATTGTATTGTTTTTAGTCCTATTCAACTCTTGGGTATTTCCAAATTTTAGTACAATCCTTCAGTACTGTTCAGATTTTTCCGGGTTTTGCTCAATTGTTGTTGTATTTACTGATTATATGACTTCTCTATGAGAGTGAGGTTTTTGCAGCTTTTTTTTTTTCTTATCATGCCTTGTATTTTCTCTGCATTGAATTTTTTCATATTTTGTTTTTTGAATTTCTGAAGCAACGGTAGATCCCGAGAAGGATTTTTTGTGATGGGTTTTTTTTTGTGTGCAGAACTTGATAGTATTTATTGGATAAAGAAGAAAACACATTGCCATCTTGGTATTCTTAGTAGAATTGAGTCATAATTCCGTATTTGATCATGGTTTCGAGGTCTTATTCTAACCTTTTGGATCTTACTTCCGGTGGATCCCCAAATTTTGGTCGAGGGGGCCGGAAGTTTTCTCGAGTGGCAACTGTTGCCGGGGTCTTATCTGAATTAGATGATGACAATTGCAATAGTGTTGGCTCTGATGCTCCCTCATCGGTCTCTCAAGATCGGATTATAATTGTGGGTAACCAACTTCCACTCAAGGCACATAAAAGTTCAGATAACGATGGAGGGTGGAATTTTAGTTGGGATGAGGACTCCCTTCTTTTGCAACTCAAAGATGGTCTTGGCGATGATCTAGAAGTCATCTATGTTGGTTCTCTTAAGGAAGAAATTGACCCCGATGAACAAGATGATGTAGCACAAACCTTGCTCGAAACTTTCAAATGTGTCCCGGCTTTTATCCCTCCAGAACTCTTTAGTAAATTCTATCACGGATTTTGTAAGCAGCATTTGTGGCCTTTATTTCACTACATGCTTCCTCTATCACCGGATCTTGGTGGCAGGTTTGATCGGTCCCTTTGGCAAGCTTACGTTTCTGTGAACAAAATATTTGCCGATAAAGTCATGGAAGTGATCAGCCCTGATGATGATTTTGTATGGGTTCACGACTACCATTTGATGGTTTTGCCAACGTTTTTGAGGAAGAGATTTAACAGGGTGAAGCTCGGATTCTTCCTCCATAGTCCATTCCCATCGTCAGAAATATATCGTACACTATCTGTAAGAGATGAACTTCTACGAGCACTTTTGAACTCTGATCTTATCGGTTTCCATACTTTTGACTATGCAAGGCACTTCCTTTCTTGTTGTAGTAGAATGCTTGGTGTTTCTTATCAATCCAAGAGAGGTTACATTGGGCTCGAGTACTATGGTCGCACTGTAAACATTAAGATTCTCCCAGTTGGGATTCACATGGGCCAGCTTCAGTCTGTGCTGGATCTTCCCGAGACTGAATCTAAGGTGGTGGAGTTACGTGATCAATTTAGGGATCAGACTGTTTTGCTTGGGGTCGATGACATGGATATCTTTAAAGGGATAAGCTTAAAACTACTTGCTTTTGAACAACTGCTCATACAACATCCTGAAAAGAGGGGTAAAGTTGTTTTGGTTCAAATAGCAAATCCCGCCAGAGGCCGAGGGAGAGATGTCCAAGAGGTCCAATCCGAAACTTATGCTGCTGTAAGCAGGATTAATCAAACATTTAAACGGCCAGGATATGATCCGGTGGTTTTGATTGATACCACGCTTCAATTCTATGAGCGAATTGCTTATTATGTAATTGCTGAGTGTTGTCTTGTGACGGCTGTGAGAGATGGGATGAATCTTATACCTTATGAATATGTTATATGCCGACAAGGAAATGAGAAGCTAGATAAGACCTTGGGACTAAACTCATCAACACCGAAGAAAAGCATGCTAGTTGTTTCGGAGTTTGTTGGGTGCTCACCTTCTCTCAGCGGTGCTATTCGTGTTAACCCATGGAACATTGAAGCTGTGGCTGAAGCTATGGATTCGGCCTTAATCGTCTCCGAAGCTGAGAAACAGTTGCGGCATGAGAAACACTATAGGTATGTGAATACACACGATGTTGCATATTGGGCACATAGTTTTTTGCAGGATCTTGAAAGGGCGTGTAGAGATCATGTTAGGAGGATGTGTTGGGGTATTGGTTTTGGTTTAGGATTTCGTGTTATTGCTTTGGATCCAAACTTTAGGAAGCTTTCGGTTGATCATATTGTTTCATCGTATAAGAGGACCAAGAACCGGGCAATTCTATTGGATTATGATGGTACTATGATGCTGCAAAGTTCAATTAGCACCACGCCTAATACAGAGGCTGTTGCAATGTTGAAAAGCTTATGCAGAGACCCCAAGAATGTGGTCTTCCTTGTTAGTGGGAAGGACAAGAAAACTGTGTCTGAATGGTTTTCTTCGTGTGAAAAGCTTGGAATAGCAGCAGAGCATGGTTATTTTGTGAGGTACACCTTTAACCTTGTCTCATCTTAGAAATTAGAAAATTTATTGTTTTTTCCAAATTGAAATTATCCAATGTGGGCATGTTAACACAGGCTTGCATTCGGTTCATCAGCAGCTGTGATATTTTGATACAGATATATAGTCACTATTCCACCTCCCAAACAACCTTTTTTTTACCTCCTAGCGACTTTTCATTATTTCTTTGTCTTCTTCTTCTCCCTATTGAAGCCTAGTTGAGTTTTATTATATTTCAGGCTCAATCATGAGGCAGACTGGGAAACTTGTGTTGCTGTACCTGATTTTTATTGGAAACAGATTGCTGAGCCAGTAATGAAATTGTACACCGAAACAACAGATGGTTCTTACATAGAGGCTAAAGAGAGTGCTCTTGTTTGGAATTACCAGTATGCAGATCCGGATTTTGGTTCATGTCAAGCTAAGGAGCTTCTAGACCACCTCGAAAGTGTTCTTGCCAATGAACCAGTTTCTGTTAAGAGTGGCCAACACATTGTAGAAGTTAAACCACAGGTATTAGTAGTACATTTTTTCAATTAATTTTTTTTCTCTATGTTGTTTTTCATTTTCTTGTGATATAGTTCACCATAATCATCAGTTCCATAGTCATAGTTCCCTGTTTTGTAAGAATTTTCTAATTGATAATTAGGAGCCAATTTGTTTTTAGCTTAAGTTTATCCATCTATATCTATATATATAAAGATATGTATTTATTTTGTTTAATTAAGTATATAGCCCTTGATAGAACCAAATGGTGAAAAAAGATTCATGCAACCGACTCCACTTGATTGGGACATAGGACTTTGTTTGATTTGGTTTGATCCACATAAAAATGATGATATGATTCTTTGAAAGGCGTGGTTTAGATTCTTCAATTACCTTATTCTGGAGTTGGTCGCTTTTTAGTTGTAAATTGTAATGGTTGGAACATAATTAAGCTTATTTTTAAAAAAAATTTTAACATGATCCTTTTGGTAGTGTGTATTATAAACTTATCATAAGCTTTGAGTTTTGTCACTATTTAATTTTTTTAACTTTTTCAAGAACTGCGTGTTCCTTATTGAGCCTTTGCAATTAAAACTAACCATCAGCAGAATGATGGATGATGAATATCTAATGTTTATTTTCAATCTTTGGTTATTTATTACTTTCTATATGACCTTGATGTTATGTTTGGATACCTATCTGTGAAAATTTATCCGAGTCTTTAGAATGATTTTGTGGCTTGTTTTGCAGTCATATTCTTGTGGCCATATATATTCAGGAACATGCATTGCCCCTTTGGCTACTACTTTTTCTCTTCTTCCATTTTAGTTATTTTTACTTCTGTTTTTTTAATTTTTTAATTTTTTATCTGTCTTAAAAATTTTCACAACAGGAGCTACTTAGGTTAGTGGTGAGGCTTGGTACATCTCTGTAGAAGTATGGAAAACTTTCTTGGACTCAGCTTGGAATTCACATTAACCTAAAAAATTTCAGTATCATACCAAGGACAGATAGTCCATAAGTGAAAAGGCAATTATTTCAGTTTTTTTTCCTTGGGTAGATTGGAGGCTGTAGCCCAAGGGAGGGGGAGCTTTGTCTGTGACAAGACACAAACCTTGACCTTCTTAACCAACTGAGCTTGCCCCAATTGATTTTTCAGCCTTTTGTGATGAGTTCATTGTACACAACCTATGTTTCATGGACTTTTCAAAATAAAACCAATACCTATGTTGGACACCCGACACTTAGACAACAGTTTGGGATATGTTGCCGGATACTTTCCATTGGACACCTCATACACATATATATATATTTATATTTATCACTATCATCAAATGTATATATATATATATATGTATTATTGTATAAATGCTACAACTAGAGTAAAATATGTTTTTGACACTGTACCTTACAAATAACACTATTTTATCTCCCACAATTGATAAAATATAAAAATGAACTTTTTTCTATTGAGTCCCTGTAACCTTAAATTTGAGGTTTGATGGGTCCAAGCCCTGGATATGCACCCACACCTTACACCTGTACCTGAGCCGATGTACCGCAATCTATCTTTTCTATTCCTTTTAGTTATATAGGTTGGAAACTAGTGCTTTCCCTCGATAAAAGCAGCAATGGTTAAAGGTAAAATGAAGGGAAGTTGACTGAGTGGTCAGGGACTCACGTGTAACACAAATCAACTAATGCATTGATATGCAAAAAGCTAATCAATCTGAGTTGATGGTGCTAAATGGATGAGAGGAAGTCTAAAACAGACAAGGCAAGAGTTGAAGATGTGACGTGGGAATTGAAGTGATTGCTTGGACTTGAACTAAGTATATTGTTTTACCCAAAAACCAATTGGAGAAGAGGGATTATGTACTAGTCGGGATTGTGTCTTATTGAGTTGAATTCTGGTATGAATGGGAAAAAAGGATAATTACCATTTGCCCCATTGTGGGTAGGGAGATTAGTCCCAATTTCACTTTGATCACCTCTATTTCGAAATCTGATGCTCACACACCCCTTGTGGCATGGACCAAAGTGAAATATTAATTTTCAAAATTTAATATTTTCTTGGCCAAGGTGAAATGGTTTATTTTCCCATTCTAGTTCTTTTTTTCTTTCACTTGGAAATTTTAATTTGGTGAGAAAACAATTTGGTTGAATTTGAGACTTTAAAGCTCCTAAAAGGACCAAATAAATGTTGCTGATATAGGAATAGTTTCCAACAATTCATCTTAAACAATGTATTGGTGAACCTCATTTACCACTGTTATAGTACTATTTGAGATGTTTTTAATGATTCACTCTGATTCTGTTTGTTCATTTGAAAGCAAAAGATGAACATCTTTAAGTTAAAATGAAAATCAAGCGAAATGAGCCAAAAGGTGTAACTTGATGTTCATGACTAATTTTTAAAAAGACTCGTGATGATGACTCTCATGATTGTGGATTTTCTTATTTTCCTTCCTAGTGGATCCCCAATTCATCCTCCATTTTTTTGGGGGGAAAATTCGACATAGTGGGACAGACAAAAAATTACAAAAATATGGGGGGTGCAAGTGTTTTGTGATGGGATGCAAGTAAAAGGTAGTGGGAATTGCAAGTGTAACTTGCACCCTTCATGTTTGTGTAATTTTTTGTCCCTCTCACTGGAATTTAATTCGCCGTTTTTTTTGGGGTGATAATATCTGATTAGCTGTGACCTTACAATATTTGTTTTTGTTTGTTTGTTTTATTTTATTTTATTTTTAAAGTTCTTTGAGTAAAAGGATCATTCAAATTATGTGAGCCCATCCTCAAAATCTTATTACCTATTTCTTGTTATCCTTCGACAACAGGGAGTCAACAAAGGTCTCGTAGCAGAGCGCCTCCTAGTCACCATGCGACAGAAGGGCATGCTTCCAGACTTTGTACTTTGTGTTGGGGATGACAGGTCAGACGAGGACATGTTCGAGGTGATACTAAGCGCCATGGCAGGGCCCTCTCTCTCCCCGGTTGCTGAAGTGTTTGCGTGCACTGTTGGCCAGAAACCGAGCAAGGCCAAGTACTACTTAGAGGACACAACCGAGATACTAAGAATGTTGCAGGGCCTCGCTGCTGCATCCGAGCAGTTGACTAGAAATGTTGCCCAAGGTCTGCAACGTGTAGTCATCGATAGAGAATGAGTTTGAGATCTCTTTGTTTTTTTTCAGCAGTGTATATTGGGTTTTGGCTGTGCAAAAAAGATCCTTTTGACCCATGTTGTATTTTCTTGTAGGGGTTGAATTTGATTGATGATTGGGGGATTTTGTTCTATGTTATATTATGTAGGTTATTGAAGTTTTATTTGGCTGTGTTATTGGGAAGTGTATGCAAGTTTCTATATGAAAATTTATTCATTGTCATAAGTGGCATTGCTTCAAACAGATTTGGAATCACACACTTGGACTCACTCAAATGTATAGTATTAAATCGCTTTGGAATAATGTCGCTAGCGGTATTGAATAATTATCCTTGTTGGTTTCACTTTGTTTTTGATCTTTTGGTAGGAAGTAAAAGGGGCTCATGCAACCAACCAATTTACTTAACTTATTTCTTTGGACTTCCAAGTCAAACCCATTTTAGGGTTAAAATTTTAAGAAAAATTATAAAAAAATAAATAAATTTAGGATTAATAATTGTAAAGGTGAAGTAAAAACAAAATTACAAAGAGCTGGAATTTCCTATTTAGACCTCGTTTGGGAACATGATATTTTAGTAACTTTTTGACTTTTTACGAAAAGATGTGCAGAAAAGTAGAGAGGTGATGTGACTAGTTTTAGTTGACTTTTTGGCTAAAATAGTCACTCCCCAAACGAGGCCTTAATTATGGAAAGAGTAATGTTATACAAATAAATTTTTCTTTCAAACTAATGTGACAATTATCACATTAGTAAATTGGGTCTTATTTTACATTCCAAGTTTTATCATTCCATGCCGCAATTAATTTTAAGAAAAATTTGTAAAAAAATAGTTTGTTAATGTATTATTTTTTCATTGAAAATATCATTTTATTTATTTATTATCTTTCTACTCTAGTCCCACCGACAACTATTCCTCCACCCTCTTTAACTGCTAGTCACCTCTCCCTTATCCAATCTCACCACTACCTGTCTCACCTTTGCGCTTTCCCAATCTCCCCAACCCCTTACCCACCATTAGCCCTCTTCATCGCTATTATTATTTTCAAATATAGTTCAATTATTGAATCACTTAATTTATTGTTTAAAATTCTTTTAAAAAGCTTTGTTTGAAACATGAAGGAAATAGTTAAAAAATTAAAAAATCTTTACAATTATTAGATTATTCTTTATGTTTTTCTATATGTTTTTTTAGAAAAAATTAAAAAATAATTAAAATAATCAATTTTCAAATGAGACAATTTATTTTTTCAATGATGCATTAAAATAAAATCTTATTTTATTGTTTAGCTTAGAAATATTTTAAAAAATCAATAAAATCGATAAATTCACCTGATTCAAATCACCAATTTGATTTGATTTTTATTAGTTTCTATTCTAATTTTGATTCTGATTTTAAAAATGATGAAACTAGATCCGATTCTTGATTCTATTATGCGACTATGATATATTTGTTTATTTTTAATATTTTATGTTTAAAATTAAAAATTTTAAAAATGTCACATTAATATGACCGCTGCAGCCACGTCAGTTGACACATTCTCTTTTCTTAAGCGTGCTGCTATTTGTGCACTAAAAATCCTTTAAAGTAAAATTTTTTTCCAAAATTTCTTAAAATATATGGTTGAGATTTATTGACAAGTCACATCAATTTTTGACGTGACTTGTCAAAAAAATCACTCAAGAGATCCTTCCTCCTATTTGTGATCTTTGATTCTGGGTTAACATTATTCACCATTAACCTAACCCTAGCTAGGGTTTATTCGGTACCTCAATCAAAGCTTCATCTTTTGACAAAAAACTCTCTGATCCCAACCCTCGAATTTGAATTCTCTCTATATAGTCGCTTCCTCTACGGTTCAACTGATCGAATCGAATGTAATGGCAAAGAATCTCAAACATCCATCCAACACTGGCGATTCTAACTCTGCTTCTGCTTCTGGTTCGGGTAAGATTTTCGAAACCCTTTTCCGAGATGTCCCAGAACAGAACACCTCTGTTTCCATCTTCCCCAACCACATTACCTTCCGAAGAAAACCCATTGATCAACAAAAATCAGGATTAGGGTTTGGTTCGGCTAAAGATGATACAGAGAACTCTACGAATGGTGAATATGAAAACCCTAGTTTTGTTGAGGTGAAGAAGAGGAAGAGGAGAGATGAGAAACCCATTTTTGATTCGGGTGAAATCGATGAAGATTTGGGTACCCGTTTGGAGATTAAGAAAGCCAAGAAAGGCAAAGGAAAAAAGCATGATTTGGGTCCTGAATTGAAGGAAAACGACGCTAATTTGGGATTTGAATCGGAGGAGGGGGGAAACCATGATATGGGTGTGGAGTTGAATGAGAGAGTTAGTTTGGAGTCAAAGGGGACAGAGAAGAAGAAAAAGAAGAGGAAGAGGGATGAGCTCGAGGTGGAGTATGAAGCGCACCAATATGGAGTTGTGGCGATGGATGATGAAGGTGGAGAGGGAAGATTGGAAGGGAAAATTGTTGGGGAGAAGAGGAAAAAGATTGATGATTCAGTGGACATGGTGGTTTCCAAGGAAGGTTTTGATGATGAGGATAAACTTTTGAGGACTGTGTTTGTTGGGAATTTAACATTGAAGGTTAAGAAGAAGGCTCTGTTTAAGGAATTTAGCCAATTTGGAGAGGTTGAGTCTGTGAGGATTCGGTCCATTCCTCTATTGGATGTAAGTCTGTTTCCAAGATTTATTCCTTGGTTTTCATGTAAAGTGCTTCCCGCTCATTTTATACGTGTTAGCCTATTCTAGTTTTAACTATTGATTATTGTTTTATCAGACCAAAAAACCGAGGAAGGGTGCAATTATCCAGAAGAAAATAAATGATGCTGTTGATAGGTATGCTTATATATCAATTATCAAATTCAATTCATCAAATGTAGTATGCTTGTCACAAAAAGTTATGATATTTAATAGCATCATCTCATTTTATTTTTGATTCCTGCAATTCGTTGGACATAATGGCGTCGTCTCCTTTTTACCTTTGGAATTCCTTTTTGTGTATTAATATGCTCCCATTTATAGTTTTGCCTTATGTTCTTGAATGAAATTCTCTTACATTGATTCAGACGTCCACTTTTATCATTTCCCAATATCTGTACTTTTGTTGCATTTAATAAAATGTATGCACATCCTTCAATGAGTGATTTTGATTCTTTACTGATATTGGTTGTTAGAAGTGGTTTATTTTCATTGATCATATGGCTTCTTCAGTTAACCATCCAACAGACATTTAACTAATAATCTTTAAAGTATCTTTCTCACAAATCATTAATTTTTATATCTTTAATAAAAGCAGCTTGGTTCCTAAAAAAATCATTAATTACACGAGTCCGTGAACATATTAAATTGTAACTATTAGTGTGTTGATTGTTTCATCAGGTTTTGTTTTTTTCCTATTGTCGTTATTACACCAATAATAAATTGTTGGGATCTTGCAGTGTTCACGCTTACATTGTCTTCGAAACAGAGCAAGCTGCCCAGGCTTCTTTGGCCCATAATATGGCTGCGGTATGTTGCTCTTTTGACAGTTAATCAACATGATTCTGGGTACAATTGGATATTTTGCTAGGAGAATGTTTTAGCTGCATTTGTAATGGGTTTGTGGATCTAGGTTGGAGGAAATCACATCCGTGTTGACAGGGCATGCCCACCTCGCAAGAAGCTAAAGGGAGACAATGCTCCACTCTATGATAACAAGAGGACGGTTTTTGTGGGTAATCTCCCATTTGATGTGAAGGTGAATTGCTCTTCTTTTTCTTCTTATTCTCTCTCTCTCTCTCTGGGTATTTTGCAGAATGCAGGCTGCCTATTTGCTTCTCATGTTGCTTATAATGATCTGCATATTTGCTTTATTATCTCTGCAGGATGAAGAAATTTATCAGTTATTTTCTGGTATCAAGGACCTGGAGTCCACCATTGAAGCCATTCGCGTTATCAGAGATTCTGGTACTAGTGCAGGGAAGGGCATTGCTTACGTCTTGTTTAAAACAAGGGTATGATTAGTAGTTTTTAAGGCATATTTTTTTTAACCTTGAATGCATTTAAAGTGATTGAAGGTTCTACTTGCTCTTTCACTTATTTTTATCTAGTTTTACACAATTCTTAGTACCCCAACAATCTGCAGTTCAAACTGAGTGAACCATATGGCGGTCACTTTTCTTCAATAATTGTAAGATTGGGTGACCCTGAAACCTTTATGTTCATTGATTCCATGTTATTTACTAACAAGACCCTAAATATGTCATGGACTCTGTGCTTTGCTCCAAAAAGTAGCTTGCTTGGTGTGAGGGCCATAGGCTTTGTTTTAGGCTTCCAAAGTAATATACATCTCTAACAAAGTAATAGATGCTCCACGACTCTAAATTTGTGAAAGAATTTATGACTTGTGTTATTGCTAGAGAACTTTAAGTTCTCATTTCAAGTTTTGTAGTTTTCATCAAACAGCTTTTGTAAATCCTCTATCATTATTCTCTCTTTCTTTCTTCCCAGAAGTAGCAATCTCTCACACTCGCTTTTAATGCAATTAGCATAATTTAAGTCTCCACCTTGCCTTTCTAATATCCTATTAAGTTTGTGCTTATCGTAAAAAAAAACAAAAACAAAATAAGAATAAAATATCTTATTAAAATTATATATATCTTTTTTTCAATCCTTTTGTATTTAACTTAAGATAAGGATCATCATAAACCTTTTGCTCCAACTCACACTAAAAAAACATTAGTTTTTTCATTTGAAGGCCATTTTTCTTGTTCAATCATTTTATTCGTAAAGTGAACTAAATTTTTACCCTTTGCATTAACTTTCCTACTTTTCTATCTCCTATGACATACATGTAATACTAGTACTTCTTTACATGTCATACTAGTAATTTACAATCCTTGCATGTTCCTCGTATCAACTGTCCTCGTTAAAAAAGAAATATATTTGTCCAACATTTATTCCACTTTTAAATGATATAAGGTGTTTATTTTTCTTTTTAAGACATGCATTCGCTATTACAAAATTATATGCCATTGCGAACTCTAAGATAGTTCCACTTTCATCATTTTCTCTTTCCAGAACGCACTCTTGTACTCTCTATTTTTCTTTTTAAGACATGCATTCGCTATTACAAAATTATATGCCATTGCGAACTCTAAGATAGTGCCACTTTCATCATTTTCTCTTTCCAGAACACTCTTGTACTCTCTCACATCTCCACCACCTTTCCCTCCAGGACCGTCTAGATCTTCTCTTAAAAGAATCTCATTTTGGTATATCTTGTGCTAATCCATCCATATCTATCAAAATTATCGTATAAATATTCAAGTAACCCAACTTGGGAGCACAAGTGCTGGAAGAATGTCACCAAGAAGTTGGATAATATGGAGTTATTTGATCAAAAGTTTTCTCTATGATGCTGACTGCAAATCTTGTATATGCCCTATGTCAAAGCATTATTATCTAAATTTCATTTATTTTTTGGCATACAGGGTGCCGCAAACTCGGTTGTTAAAAAAGGGAGCTTGAAGCTCCGGGATCGTGAACTAAGGCTCTGTCATGCTAAACCAAACCTCACACCATCTAAGAGGAAAAACCCATCACCCAGAGATATAAATGGTTCTCCAACCAAGAAGTTAGCAGTGGATTTAAGGACTCCAACAAAGTCTGCTAGCTCTTACCAGGGTCTGCGGGCAAGTAAATCGGGCGTCCAAAAGAAGGTCCATGCAAAAGTCATTGAGCCAGTAAAATTACAATTCAGGACACAGAAAGGTGAGAAGTTGAAAGAGCGAACAAGAAAAAGACCAGCAGTGGCTGCCAGAAGGGCAAATGCAATGAATGGTGGTGGTGATGCTTCAAAACAAGTTGGGAAAAAACGCAAGCTGGAATGCCAGACTCCAGGGAGTGCCCGCCCGAGTAAGAAAATCAGGAAATTCAGATAAGATTACATGCAATAAAGGCCTTTAATAAGGACATGACTTATATAAACTTGTAAATGTTATGCTGAAAGGATTAGGTATCAGTTTGTATTATATTTTACACAGATATGCTAATTTGTCTATTTACTAGACCAAAATAAATTAAAAAAAGGAAAAAAGATGGATGATTTGTTTCTGCTTGGTTGTCATGAAGCCATTTCATTTAACAATATGCCTGAATGTGATCTGCAGAATGGGTCTCCCTTTCTTTCTTTTTTTTTTCATCTTCTCTTCTTTTTCTCTAATCAGAGATTGTAACAGTTGACTCACCTGCTATGTTAACTTTTATATTTTAGATCTCTTTTTGGCAATATATATATGTATCTTGTGTTATGATCTGAATTATAAGAGTTGTGTTTTGAAAAGAGTTTTGAATTGTATTTTGAGTTTTGAGTTGTATTTTAAAATTTTTTGGGTTTATTTTTTAAAATATTTAAAAAATTTCTTAATTTTAGTTTTTTAGGATAAATATTTTTGATTTTAAATATTTATTTATTTTAATGTGTGCTGTACTACATGTGTACGTTGTATTTTTTTTTAAATATTTGAAATATTTAAAAATTTAAAATGAGTCGTATTTTTTTATATTTTAAATATATAATTTATATTTTAAATATTTTATTCTATTTTAAAAATATTTTTATTTTTTTAATATTTTAAATAATTTTTACTCTTTTTTTTTTAATTTTAAATTTTTTGGATCCCCTATGTATATCTAAATCATTACAAATTATTTGGCTAATACTTAAAAAAATAACAAAATATTTCTTTTGAAAAAATTAAGAAAAATAAAAAAAAATACTTTTCTTCCAAAATAGAACAAAATAAAAAATATAAAATAGAGTTTCAAAATATAAAATATAAAAAATTTCAAAATACAAAATAGAGTTATGAAAATATAAAATTTCAAAATATAAACAAAATAAAAATTTCAAAAGAAAATAAAATAAAAAATGATTTAATTTTTTTTTTAATTTTTAAAATAGAGTTTTGAAAATAGTTTAGTTATGAGTTTTTAAAAAGAATTTTTAAATTACATATTTTGTTAAGAGTATTAAATTTTTTTTTATTGGAATTACGATTTTAAAACTAAACCAAATACTAGTTTTAGCATAAGTTATCTAGCCACTGTCCTCCTTTTGGATTAAGCTTCTTAATTGAAGAGACATTGTAATGCAAATGATTTATGACTACTCTGTATTTCTAGAATGACTCTCTTTGTTGGCACACAAATCATATTGAAGTGTTTTACATCTGAATTTCTCAACAATGATGAAATGTTAAACATTGAAGATTGTCACAGACACCATCCAAAATGTTATTGACATATTTTCCTTCCCATCCTACTAAAACACAATGAAGAGAATTCATTGGAGACCCAACACCTTCTCTGAACCACCTCCAATTGCTGCAGCTTCAGCAGTGATGAATCTATAGCTGAATTAGAGCTACAAATTGTATTTATTCGATGCTAATCTGTACAGAAACGTAGTGATACGCAACCAGTTTGCCTGGAGAGATCACGGAGACCATGTTAACCCAGTGTGTTTCAGCTGAATAACTGCTATGATTTGTTCTTGCTCATCAGTGTAGGGGTAATTGATACAATCCCAATAAGGAACAGGGTGGCTATTGAATGGAAGTCATAAAGGTCACCGATCGATCGCAACTCCCCGAGAGCTATTCCAGCCTGCAAATGAAGTAACATAAATACTCAGATAAATGGATATAATTCAAAGAAAAAGGTATAAAATAAAAGAATGAATACTTTGTTGTTTCTTCTTAGTTTGAATCTAAGAATCGACCTTTTCCATTGCTATGCTTTGTTTGAAGCAGCTTACTCGGTTGATTATAGCTAATCAGGAAAAACTAGCTTAAATAAGTCGAATTTTTTTGATATTTGAACAGTTGGAAGATGATACTTTTAACTTCACTATTTAATTATCAACTTTCAGCTTCACCAAACAGGCCTTGTATGTGTGCATGCATATTGATCTAATCTCTGTTAGATTAAACGTGGATTGATTCTAGGCAACAAGGTATTCCTTAATCTTGTAGTCACAGTTAAATTTTTTCCCCAAAATAAGCATATTGAAATCTAAAATGCCAAAGAGATATGAAATCAAAATGCCCAAAAAAAAAAAGTACCCGGACTGGATTCGTAGGTTCGGAATGAGCCCGATGAATGTTGCCAGGAAGAAAATATGGTAAGGCACATCAACTATCGGTGAAGCCACATTGATGAATGTATTTGGCAAGGTCGGGGTCACTCTTAGGAAAAGCATATAGTTCAGCAGCCGTGCTCTCCTTTTAGCCACCTGGCTTAACAGAGAAATATCTAACTTCAATACTTAATTTTGACACGAGCCAAGATAAGTATAGGGATGATTTGAAGTTCACCTGTGCTTGGAAGAATACAAGCTTGTCGGGCCACAGAGAGAAGACTAGGGGCCTGCCGATCAACTTGGACAGGAAATAACAGGAAGAAGCACCGGCAGTGGCATTGAACACGACCAGTGCAACACCTTTAAAGACTCCAAAAAGGGCTCCGGCGAGCAATGACATGAAAACAGTCCCTGGAATCATAAAAGTCTGCATGAAAATGTAGACCATGCAGTACCCCATGAGGACTTGTATAGTGTAGTCACTTGTGTAGCTCTCCAGGTGATCTCTACAGGGAACATCCATAGAAATATTAAAATATATTTTTCTGAATCGCCATTTGCGATCTCTCTCAACGAACTTGATCAAGCACATCAAGCAGAGAAGCACGAGTAATATGTCAGATAAAGTAGGAACCAAGGAGGAAAATTACAATCCAGTATAAAAAAAAATCCAAAGAAAAGCATAACAAAAATATGGAGATAAGTATGCCGAGGAATTAATGAAATTATGTCAGTAGCTTCTTGGACGTACGAGTTATGTCCTATCAACAGGACAGCACAATACGTTGGTTCAGCGCTAGTATCTATACATTACTATCAACAAAAGGTTAAAGGATTTCATACCTAACAGAATTTGATGTTTGGTGAAACAGAAAAGGAAAACAAGAAGCACAAGGCTAATAAATCAGATGTCATGATCATCTCAGCCACAAAATTGAGATATTGCATCACCATCTATGAAATGAATGTTAAACTCACAACATTTTCAATTGAAGAGTAGCGCAGCAATGGATATGTAATACTATAACCATAAAAAACACATAACTAGCTACAATGCAGTTTAGTGCTTCACATGGATGTGCAAAAGGGCAAAAAAAATTTGATTTTTTTTTAAAAAAAAAAAACATATATCATATATGACAATGTAAACATGTAAAAATACAAGTCATATTTCCTTGGACAAGTCAAGTTTCGAGTTTAGTGCTTCACGCGGATGTATCTACAGTATTATACCAAGAATATATAGAAACCCCCAAATAATAAAAGCACCAGTTTTTTTGAAGAAATTTTTGGATGAAAAACAAACTCGCACAACTCAAATTGCAAATTTATTCACTATTTCACGAATAGCACAAAAACTGAACAGATTAGGATGATAATGTAATCCAATTCCATATCTCCCAATCTAAAAAAATTGCATAATCAGTGTTTAAAACAACCCATCATCAATCAACAACAATCTTGTTGGAACTATTATTTTTGCTTGTGCAACTCCTTCTACCCCCCATCCCAAAATATAAATAAATAAATAAAAATGTTACACATTTTATATACATACTTGAAATTGACATTATTAGTCTGTTTGTTTATATAGAAAATAAAATAGATCAGCGGAAAATCTGTCTACAAAGTCAGTTTTTTTTTTTTTTTTTTAAATCTAAAAAAAGAAAAAAAAAAAATAAAATGGAAGCAAATGAAAGATGTTGTTAAGTACCTGAGGATTTGGAGATCTTGGAGAGTACGGGGAAGCTTGAGGAAGCTGTAATCAGATGCGGGCATCGTAAGATAGACCCCAAGAAGCCCTACCACGAAGATCAATACGACGCCGCAAGCCACCGTTACCTCCCAAAACGTCAATGGAAACTTGGCCCCCGCCGACGATGATGAATTCGATTTATTTGCATCAGTGCCATTGCAATCCATATTGCACTCTCTCTCCTCCATTCTCACAATCAGCAATCCCAAAATTCAATTCACAGACAGACAAAACAATTTTTTTTTTTGCGTGAGAAGGATTGAATGTTGTTCTTCTTCCTTGCTTTTGGGACACTCCTCTCTCTCTCTCTCTCTCTCTTTCTTTCTTTTTCGCTTTGTCTTTTCGTCTTCGTCTCTACGACTCTCTACGTGTTAATTATCTGTTTCAATTTGTGGGGAGGGAGATAGATAGAGAGAGGGGGATTCGTAGGTTCGCAACAAAAAAATCCAAAAAAAGTTTTTTATTTTTTAAAATGAAATATTATTATTGTCTGAACAACCAGTGTCATCGGTTGTCGGTCATCTGTCGTCGTTGGAGGATATTTTTCCACGCAGATCATATTTTCTCCGGTCCAAAATAGGATTAGAACGTATTATTAGATTTTTATAGGCTTATATTGATAATTTAAAGCGGAGAAATTGTCGAGTATTTTATCTCTTTGAAGAATTACGTTGATCGGATATCGATAATTACTTAATTAATATAATTTAATGAATATTAATATTTGATTAATATAATTTTTTTCAAAAATAAAATAATTGACGAGATTAACATATTAAATTGTTTAAATTATTAATGTTAATTTTGTGAGAAGTACACCAAACCCAACAGCACCTCCGATTGGAAAAGCCAATTGGTGAGCACCCCTTTCCTTCTTGTTCTACCTCATTTTTTATTTATTTATAATCAATTGTTCTACTTCATTTTTTATTTATTTATAATCAATTGGAATATGTAAATTTGTTTATGATGAAAATCAATGCAAAGTATCTAGACCCACTTGGACCCAACACAATAGATGGTTGGGACCCACTTTAATCTTTAATTAAAGTCACCACACTTTAATATTAAATTAAAGTCCCCAAAAATCATTTTTTCCAACAAAAATGAGTTTGCAGATTTAAATATGACTTTGAGAGAATTAGAATGGATTTTATTTTGATAATATGAATTATTTATTTTGTAACATATTTAGTGTATAGTATTCATAAAAAAATATTTAAATAAAATAAGCATAGTATTTTAAAAATAAATAAATAATTTTTTTTAAAAATATATTTATTATTTATTTTTAAATATAAATGCATAAAATGAAGGAAAAACTACGCTTCAATATCACTTGTACGGGGAAGAAATAATTCTCCTCGTATAAGCAAACTGACTTGTAAAATGGAAGCAAAAATTTCTATATTGAAACTTGACATGAGGGTCTCAATTTATACATGTATAGGGGAGAGAAGAAGAGCCTCCAGCCTTTATGGCTGTTCATAATGCACCATTAACCTCTGCAATAAAGGCAGGAGTTACAAACTTTATTACCTTTTTTCCATGAAGCTAACTTCATGAGGTAATTTCTCATTCAAATCTCAATGGTTTTTGGTCATTCCATCTGTGGTGTAAAGATCTCAATGCAAAGTATCTAGACCCACTTGGACCCAACACAATAGATGGTTGGGACCCACTTTAATCTTTAATTAAAGTCACCACACTTTAATATTAAATTAAAGTCCCCAAAAATCATTTTTTCCAACAATCCCCCACATGAATAAAAATTGACCGAATGACGCAACAAACGAACACCGTTCACAATAAAGACTTTGAGAGAGAGTACAACGAACTAACCCTGACATCAGAGAATGTAGCTTTTGGCTTTGAACCTCTCCCAGTGAAAACCTATCGAGTTTACTGGCTGATCAGTGAATATGACATCTTGAACTGCTCTGCCGTTTATGTAAACTGAGACAATAGATCTCACACGGGAATTACTCCTACCACCATTATGTTCTCACTGGTGTGCCCTGTGTGGCCCTGGACACTAGCCTGGTTCAGCGAGTGGTTTCAAAGAATCTTGGCCTGCCCAATTCTTCTAGAAGCGGCCCCACTTCACACTCACATAGGTAACTCTACTTGAGTATCCTGCTATACTCAGCTCAATAGCTTAACACACTAGAGTCATTAAAAGCTCAGCTTAACCACACTTGCAGGTATCACTGATAGAAGGAATGGCTAGAGGTTTAACCTCCTCAGTGACATACCACCGTTACACGCAATTAGGTTGTCCCATTGAACCTAGATCTTGAGATCTCCAGTCAACTAGGTTGGGTTTCCATTCCGGTAACTTCCAAAGGCCTCAACCCCATTCCTTTTGACGACGTTTCGACTAATACTCGATTTAACCCTTTGGTTAGCGGATCCGCAATGTTGTCCTTAGACTTTACATAGTCTATAGAGACAACTCCATTCGAGAGTAGTTGTCGTATGGAATTATGTCTACGACAGATATGTCTAGACTTTCCATTATACATATTACTCTGTGCCCTACCAATTGCAGATTGACTATCACAATGAATACAAATAGTAGGCACAGGTTTGGACCAGCTTGGAATATCTTCAAGGAAATAGCAAAGCCATTCAGCTTCTTCCATTGCTTTATCCAAAGAAATAAACTCTGATTCCATCGTTGATCTAGATATACACGTTTGTTTGGAAGATTTCCAAGACACCGCTGCTCCACCAAGAGTGAACACATATCCACTAGTGGACTTTGAGTCCTTTATATCTGATATCCAATTTGCGTCACTATAGCCTTCAAGCACCGCTGGATATCGAGTATAATGCAGCCCATAATCCCGAGTGTAACGTAAATACCTTAACACCCGCACAATACCCTTCCAATGAGAAGCATCGAGATTACTTGTGTATCTACTAAGCCTGCTAACCGAGTAAGCTATATCCGGCCTAGTACAACTCATCAGATACATTAAACTTCCAATTACCCGAGAATATTCTAACTGAGAGACACTGTCTTTATTATTCTTGGTAAAATATAGACTTAAGTCTATAGGTGTCGATGACACACTCGTATCTGATCCACTAAACTTCTCAAGTATCTTATCAACATAATGAGAGTGAGAAAGTACAATTCTGCCAGAGATTCTGGTAATCTTAATTCCCAGAATAACATCTGCAATGCCCATATCCTTCATGTCAAATTTAGAGTTTAACAACTTCTTGGTAGTTTTGATCATTTCATCGTTACTACCTATAATGAGCATATCATCAACATATAGACACAAAATGGCATAACCCCTGTCAGTGTCTTTAACATAAACACACTTGTCACATTCGTTGATTTTAAACCCATTTGACAACATTGCGTTGTCAAACTTCTCATGCCATTGTTTAGGCGCTTGCTTCAAACCATACAAAGATTTGACAAGTTTACAAACTTTCCTGCTTTGCCCTGAAGCTGAAAATCCTTCAGGTTGCTCCATGTAGATTTCTTCATTCAAATCTTTATTTAAGAAAGCTGTCTTTACATCCATCTGGTGAATTTCTAGATTGCGCAAAGCAGCAATCGCAATCACCATCCGAATGGATGTTATCCTAGTAACAGGTGAGTACGCATCAAAGTAATCCAGGCCTTCTCGTTGCCTGTACCCTTTGATAACGAATCTCGCCTTATACTTGTCAATTGACCCATCGACCTTCATCTTTCTTTTAAAAATCCATTTGCAGCCTAAAGGCTTACAACCTGGAGGTAAATCTACCAACTCCCAGATGTGGTTCTGTAAGATGGAGTCAATCTCACTTTTGATCACTTCTTTTCATAAAGGACTCTCAGGAGAAGTTACAACTTTGTGGAAAGTTTGAGGTTCGTTCTCAACCATATAAGTTAAGAAGTCTGGACTAAAAGATTTGGATATCCTAGCCCTTTTACTCCTTCTGGGCTCATCTAAAACCTCAATTTGATCATCACCTGAATCATCAATATGATCATCCTCACTAGCAAGCTCATCAAATTTCTCCAAAGACCTTGGAACCCTTTCATTGGTTCGGCAAGGAAAAATGTCTTCAAAGAAACATGCATTTCTTGACTCCATAATGATATTCCTGTGTATGTCTAGAATTTCAGACTTATGTACAAGAAACCGATATACACTACTATTATGTGCATAACCAATGAATATACAATCCACGGATTTCGGGCCTATCCTAACCCGTTTGGGTGTAGGAATTGCCACTTTTGCAAGACACCCCCACATTCGTAAGAATTTATACGACGGCTTAACGCCTTTCCATAACTCTTTTGCTGAGCTCTTGGAACAAAACACACTATAGAGTGAGTCTGCCAAGCTGTTGAACACATAGTTCCGGCAAAGATAGTCTGTCTGCTTCCATGTGTCAAGCGCCATGACTTTCTGCTTATCAGGCTCATTCTCTGCAACGGTTGGAGGATCCTCGCTCAGAACCTTTGCAAGGTTTAGCGTGGTCAAGTAGAACAGCATCTTTTGCTGCCATCTCTTGAAGTTCACCCCAGCAAATTTCTCTGGGCGCTCATGATGACTGAGCGGTCCTCCCGGAACAGCCGGAGTAACGCCATGGTTGACCATAGAGGTCACAACAGTAGGGGTTGGCAACTTAGTTGCCCCGGGGTTCAGATCCCCACCAACATTAGCAGTAGCAGCATGTGTCTAATAAGCAAATAAAACTTGCTACTACAAATTGGTAAACAAACCAACTAAATCTCAAGTAAAAAATTTCTTCAAACATAAAGAAAAATAACCAATCCAATTGAGGATTATAAGTAGTCCAAACAATTCCTTTCTACGCTTAGGTATGCCTACAAAGAGAGTTAGTAGAAAACGACAACATAATATAAAGCAATTGTACATACAATCAAATATTATTTAACCTTCTAGCAAATCATAGAATAGCAAAATAACTAAGGAATTAAGATACTATACAAGTTACAAAACCTTATAACTTCTACATAAATTACAAAACTTTAATTCATCCAATTAAATCACACACTATTCATGGAAATAACTTATGTGTATAACTCTAGAAAACTAGAAGCAATTTCACATGCAAATTAGATAGTAAAGCTAGAAGCATGCAAAATCAAAATATACATATGCAACATTAGACAAATAGGATGAAACCAAATAAGTAGCATGCAGTTTATGTAAATAATTTGAATTGTTTATATGTAATAAACTAATAACCAAGCACTTCAAGTATATAACCATTCACCCATTAACATGCAAAAATTCTAAAGATTAAATCATGTAATCTAGTCTAGAAAATAATAAGCATGTAACAAATTAAAATCTAAAATAGAATAGAATTAGCATGTCAAATTGCAATATCAATAA